TATTTTGTCTCCACACTGCCTCCTTTTACAACTCACTCATTGCTTATATCAGTTGACTTCGTTTTCCAAAACAAAGTTCCATAGGCTGAGTGACTTAAACAAGAGACATTTATTTTCTCACAATTGTAGATTGCAAGCCCCAGATCAAAATGTCAGCAGATGTGGTTTCCTTTGAGGCCTCTTTCCTTAGCTTGTAGGTGGCTGCTTCCTCACTGTGTCCTCTTGTGGTCTTTTCTATGTGCATGTACCTCTCCTATGCCTCCAGATTTCCTCTTTTGTTACAGAGACATTAGTCACATTGGTTTAAGATTCACACTAAGTACCTCATTTTTACTTAATTACCTCTTTAAAGGCTCTGCCTCAAAATACATTCAGATTCTGGATTATGGGGACTAGGGCTCCACCATAGGAATTGGGGTGGGGACACAGCTCAGCCCTTTACAGTGTAATGTTTCTTCTCTTCCTCTTTTCACACCCAAAGGCTACAAGCCCACACCTCTCCACCAGAGTGTCAATGTCCAGATTGTCTTTCCCTCAAATTGCCAAGATTCCAATTTCAACATGCATGGAAACAGAGGAGAGAGGGGGTATTCTGCCTAGAGTGGGGTTAGAGGAAGATCTGAAGAATGAGTAAGAATTCACTAATTACAAAGGGAGAGATGTTCTAGGTTGTAGAAATATTATTTGTCAAATGAATAAAAAGAATCTAGAATAATACCTGCATTTTTGTCTTTGTAAGCAGGTAAAAGATGATGCTGACCTCTGGAAAGCTCTCTAAAACACAAATCTATTTGCATTATCCACTTGAAATTCTAATTGTTTTCTCATTCTTAACATAACACCTGGAAGGTTTGGCAGGTCCTAAAAAAAATTGACAATACCTGGCCTCTCCTTATCATACTTCCATAAGCAAAGATATCAAATATTTAAAAAAATCTCATGCGAGTTTGGGGACAATTAGATGTGGCTTTTGTGGAGGAGGAATGGTATGAGTTGTAGGAAGGTTAGCAGAGGTCACACTGTACAGAGTTTTCATTAAAACCAGTCAGTTTTGTATCTAGAGATGAACACAGGAAATTAGAAGCTGCTATAACCACTCATGTAGGAAAGAATGCCATTACTTGTAAAAGGTTGAAAGATTTGAGGATGGCATGAAAGCCAATAGCTATGAAGTGGGGTAGGAGTGGCAATAAAAGATAAGGGACAAACTTGGGGGAAAGGGGATAAGAGAACAGAAGAAAAGGAGGAGACATGCTGTGCATATATCAATGATGAAGGCTGTTGTTCCAGAGGGGATTCTGTTGGGGTGGCCTCTGACTCCTTGACAAGGCAGAATTGCCTTCCTCAAGCCTGATCAGCATCTCCTATGTGGAGGATAAGTCAAGTGGTCAGTTAATATGGGGATTGTTATGGTTTGGATGTGAGATGTTCCCCAAATGCTCATCTGTGAGACAATGCAAGAGGATTCAGAGGGGAAATGATTGGGTTTGAGCACCTTAACCTAATCAGTGAATTAACTGCCTGATGGAATTAATTAATTGGTAATTGAAGGGAGGATTGGGTGTGGCTGGAGGAGGTGGGGCATTAGAAGTGCTCGCTGCTTTTTGACCATCCTGTGAGCTGCTTCCCTCTGCCACATTCTTCTGCTATGATGTTCAGCCTGACCTTGAGCCCTGAGGAATGTCTATGTCTGTGGATTGAGACCTCTGAACCGTGACCCTCAAATAAACTTTTCCGCCTCTAAAGTTGTTCTGGTTGGGTCTTTTAGTCAGCAAAAAAAGCTGACCAAAACAGGAATGCAGTAGAGGAAGGAGCCACCAGCGGGGGTGGGGGGGTGGGGGGGTGGAGAGAGAGGCAAAGAATCCCAGGATGAACTTGAGGTCTGGATAAGATCAACATCGGTGGGGGGGGGGAGGTTGTAACTGGGAGGGTCACTTACAGAAGATAGTTCAGGGCAGAGCTTGCAGATCAAGAACTAGTGAATCCAGCTGGATGCTGTGGTGCATGCCTGTAATCTCAGAGGCTCAGGAGGCTGAGGCAGGAGAATTGCAAGTTCAAAGCCAGCCTCAGCAATTTATCGAGACCCTATCTCAAAATAAAAAATAATAAGGGCTGGAGATGTGGCTCAGTGGTTAAGTGCCCCTGGGTTCAATCACTACTCTGAGGAAATAGGTGGGTATCACCAGACAAAAGTTCCCCCTCTCAGGATACTGAGATAAGAGAACAAAAGGATCAGATACTTTCAGAGGAGAAAAGATGGAGGGAAGCGTCACACGTTGACCACTGTGCTCACTAGTGAGCTCAGAGCAGTGATTAAAGAGGTTAAATGTAAGGAAGACAGCAAAGCAAAGTGATTGGTTTCACCCCAACTGCAGCTTAAAGGCAGAAAACCATCTTTTTCTTGCGTACCAACACAGTGTTGTGGGGCAGGTCCCTCAGAAAACACACCCAGTCCCAGTTTTGTCCAAATTGAAGAGTCTTTATTTAGCTGGACAGCTGGCAACTGCTCCCCGCAGGACCCATAACTGTTTCTGCAAGGAACAGCCCCAAGCCTGAGCATTTTAGGATATTTAAAGGCAAAATCTGGGTTGATGTAGCTGTAAGCAAGCAGGTAGAGAAGCTGGATTGGGCAGTAAGCGAGACAATGCAATGGGTACATTGGTATTTCCCACAGGACTTTACAGGTTGGCATAGCAGCAAGCAAGCAGAAGGGAAGTGGGTCAAATGACAGTAGTTGAGTACAAGTTAGAGAATGGCTACTAATGTCCAGTCAATCAATCTCTTACAAGGTACACTGTCCAAGAAAAATGGAAACCAAAGAACTATTTTGTGTTGCCAAGTATGCTATGCTAGGTAAATATTAATGGGTACAGAGGCAGGGCTTTCCCACGGGAGAAGCATTTCTTACATGATATGGAGTCTTAGGGTAAAATAGAGTCTGTTTGCTCATTGTCCATATAGCCTGGCCCATAACAACAGCACCCAATGAGTAGGAATACTCTAAATAAAGATGGTCATGGCTGGCCAGTTTGTGTCAGTCAAAGCTGGGACTATCTCCAAAGTTAGTTTTTTTGTTTGTTTTTTGCTTTTTGAAACCTCTGGTCACAAGAAATGAGGGTTTCCATTCTGTGTCTGTCCCATGGATCATCAGTCCTACGGCTGCCAGTAATGGGATTCGTGCTTCTTTGGGATTACAAAGAGTAAAGCTGTTGCTGGGCCTGGTGGCACACATGTAATCCCAACAGTTTAGGAGGCTGAGGCAGGAGGATTGCAATTTCAAAGCCAGCCTCAACAATTTAGTGAGATCCTGAGAAACTCAATGAGACCTTGTTTCTAAATAAAATATAAAAAAGGGCTTGGATCGTGGCTCAGTGGTTCAGTGCCCCTGGATTCAATTTCTGGTACCAAAAATAAAAAAGCTTTCCAACTAAGACCAGGTATGGTCAGTCAGAGGCCTGATTTGTCCCTGTGAAGCTGGTGACCATAGAGAGAGTGGTGAGGGGCCTGCATCACTAGCAGGGAGACAAGGGAGTCCATCCCAGAATGGGGCCAAGCTCTTTGGAGCCCATGCCAGAGTCATAGGGGCAACAGCAGCCCTGGAACCAACCTGAGGACTTGTGCTGCGACTGAGGATCCTTGGGACATTCCTTCCTCATGGACTGTCTGGTAATTCTTTAGGTTTTATTACTATTGAATGCGTATTTCAATGTAGAAATAATGTAAGCATACTGCAGAAAGCCCAAATGACAGCATCCACCCAAATATTAATTGTGAGACAAGAATTTTGCTCTACTGAATCTTTTTCATCTTAGTTTACAATCTCAATGTTAGGACTTAAGGCATTCATGGTAGAAAATCACCAAAACACTTTTGTATGAGACTATTTAAAATGCCAAGGATGAGAAGTTTTGCAGAGAGAATTCTCACTTGAAGAAGGAGCCTGAGTCAGTTAGGATTTTTTAATAAAGATTTAGCTAAAGAGATCAACTAAAGTTCAACTAGTTTTAGGGACAATTCAAGTTCAAAGAAGGTTCTCAGAAATAGGAGATATTGTTTTTAAGAATGAGGAGCTATTGTTTGGGACTTGACAAAAGGATTGGAGAGAAATGGGAGCTAAGGTCATATTAAAGAGGAATGGGGAGGAACATATACTGGAGACAAGAACTTTCAAGGGCTGCCAATAGAAATTTCTCAGATTTCCAGTGTCTATTGCAGGGACCAAATGCAAAGGTCTTCTGATTATTGGCCAGAAGTCTTTCCATATCTCATAGATACCCCAATCTTCCCCACCTTGGTAGTGATTGATAAAGAACCTTGGGAAGTCCTGAACACACTCATGAAGGAGTGGTTGAGATAGGTAAAAGCCTGAACAGCAAATGTAAAATTAGAAGATTTTACCACTTGGCTCTAGGGATATGATTTATCTTCAACTCGATTGGAAACTGCCGAAGTTGAATCCTATGTATTTCTAGCCTATAGCTGTCTAAAGGGAATTCTGACATTTGTGACAGAAAACTCTAGGACTTCCTTACAAAGGAGTTGCACTTTGGCTTGGCTCTAGAAGCATCACTATCTTAATAATTGTTGTTCTTCTTAAGAAAAATCTTTTGGGCTCAACCCAGGGAAGCCAGGCCTGTAGCTCATTGTGCCTCTCTGCTCACTGAGCAATGCAGCCCTGTGCACTGGCTTTTCAGAGACAGGGGTAGATCAGGGTTCATTTTTCCTTGCTGTGCCTTTAAGAGCTGCAGGAATGCAAAGTAAGTTTGGAGGAGAGGTGGGTCTCCCAACAGAACTTCTGGGAAAAAGATCCTGGGAACTTATGCCAGAAACTCAACTGAGATTCCAACTCCAGAAGTTATCGGGGGTGGTTTGTGTTGGGTCAGGCCTCTGATTGGACCGCAGAGTCTATTAGGGAGGAGGAAAGCAAAAGTAAAAAGGAAACAGCTGGGACAGGGGAGCAGGGGAAAGGCCTCCCCACCCCCTCCTACACTGAAAGCTGAAAGCTGTGTGCAGCCATTAGCCTGGGGAGGGTCTGTGCATGTCAAGGGTGAGGGCAGCAGAGGCTGAACCCAGGAAGCTCTCTGCACCAAGTGAGCCTGCAAGGACTCCAGGGACTGACTTTGCCAACAGCTGGACTTGATCACCAGCTCACAAACTGAGATCATGCATTGGGTGGAATAACAAGCCGACTTTGCTCTCTGGCTGTGCAAGACATTGTTTTTCAAGGATTTCCCAAAGCAGACAATAGATAACAGAAGACCACCACCTGGACCCTTGAGTCTTCTCTAAGAACCACTTTAAGATTCCACTCCTGGCAGAGTTTGCAGGATCATGGTGGCCCTTTGGGAAGCTTCTGCTCTGCTGGTTCTGTTCCTTGCAGCCTTTCTGCCCCCACCACAGTATGCCCAGGATCCAGCCATGGTGCATTATATCTACCAGCGCTTTCAAGTCTTAGAGGTAGGTGACATCTGTGAAACTTGCGTAGGGAACATGCCTCCTGGAAGTCACCTTGCTGTACTGTCTACTGGAATGTACGTTTTACAGATAGGAAGTGATAAATCCATTGCTAAAGTGACACTTACAAATGTCTGTAGTCTTATCAGTTTAGGGCACCAATTCTAGAGCCCATTCTCCCAGACCTTGGCTTCCCTCTGTTCTCTGATCTGGCAGTTTTTCTCATCTATAAAAAGGAGATAATAATATAAATTACTTTCTAAGGTTATTCTGAAGATTTAACAAAAAGATTCCAGCTCTGAGAAGTTGGGGATGGTTTGTGTTGGGTCATTAATCCATACTTAGAACATTGTCTAGCATGTTAGGTAAATGTCCAAAATACTGGACATTTAAAATTTAATACTTCATGTCTTAAAATATACAAATTAAAGCTTTGGGTCACTTTTTCTTCATGTTTTACTGTATCAAGATGTTAATATATTTTAGTTTTTTGTCTTTTTTTGATAAACCAATATGTCCCTGTCAAAAGTCATAAGAGTATACTGACAGACTAAGTCTTAGTGTTTTTTTTTTTTTTTTTTGGTCAAACAGGACTTGGACTAAGAAATGGCATATTTCAACTATGTTGAGTAGAGAGAAAGCATTTAGGCATCTACTTTGTTAAAATGTATAAAACCCAACATTTTTGTAAGTCAGACAGGTTCTCAAAACAAATGTAATCCTCTGCCCTGGTCTTTGCCACACCCTAGCATTGATAGTCACTATTTTATACTTAATCTTTTGCTTTTTAGAAGTTAAATAATTGGTATATTATTTATCTTCCAATACACTTTGATCTCCAATTTATTTTCTGTATTTTCCTGAAAAATGTTCAAGTCCAAATGATTTGCTCATCTAGCTACAGTCGGTAAAAATGATTCAACAGGGCAGCCAGAATGCATTGCTTAACATTGTCCAGTGGCCAGACTAAGGCCTGAAGGCTGTGGGCGAAATGTTCCAGCCCAGTGGCCTCTTGTTGCTGCTTCACTAGCTCCCTCTCCACAAACCTCCCAGTCTCACTACTTAAAAATGCCATAATTATGCTCAGCCTTTTGCACCAACTTGCCCTGGGATTAGAGCTACTAATAACCTGTAAACTGTCCTTCAATACTTTAAGAGATTGTGTGCAGACAAGGGTATAATGCACAGAGGGATACTCTCATAATTCTGAATGTGGATTTTAAAAACAAGGATGTGACTTTTATAGATTTTCCCACCTGGTCCTGACCTGGAGGTGAAGCCAAGTCCCAGGTGGCAGGCACTGTTGGTCAATATACTTAATAACTAAGTAATACAGTTCCCACCATGAGAGGGACATCTCAGAGGGATAAGAAGAAAGAGAATATAGATTTAGGGAATTACTTTTAATCCCTCCTGTCTTCTCCTTCCTGTCTCTTTATATCTCTATTACTTTACCTACAAAATGAAATGCCTTAAATATTCATGTTTGAGCTACAGAGATTTTCGTTAAACTGTGCCAAATGAGCTTTAAGTACATATACTCTTTGGCCAAATATTTGTTGAAGACTACTCTATGATTGGTACTGAGCCAGGTGTTGGGGATGGAGCTTACTTCTGGAACTTTATCCTAAGAAAACCAGTTAAGCACATGAAAATGTAAATTTTTTTTTCTTCTCAGCATTGTTTGAATGAAAAAAGAAAATTGAAAGCTACATAAATGACCACTTAAGAAGGAACAAATACTTTTTTTTTAATGGGGGATTTTTAGAGCAAGGTTCAAAGGCTCTCGCCTATAATTCCAGCGACTCAGGTGACTGAGGCAGGAGGATCACAGGTTTGAGATCAGCCCCAGCAACTTACTAAGACCCTGTCTCAAAACAATAATAATAAAGAGGGTTGGAGATGAAGTTCACTGGTAAAGCGGGGTGGGGGTGAGAATTTCATGAAAATAAAAAGGAGACCAGTAGCTTAAGAGGATAGGGATTATAGGGAGGGAGGAACAGGGGGAAAGCTGGGCCAACGAAATTGACCAGATTGTGGGCACATGTGGATATGTCACAAAGAATCCCATTATTTGGAATAATTATAATGTATCATTAAAGAAAAAAAATCCCTTGAGAAAAAAGATTATAGTAAGTTTAAAGTATGTAGAAAGATATTACATGAAAAACAAGATTACATCTTTCTTCATTGTATTTCCTCTATGCAAAGGTAATCATTATTACAGTTTCTTGGGTATTTTTGAGAAAGAAGGCAGGTGTACACACAAAAAATCAAGCATCATATTTATGAGAATGCACGATTTCATTTTCCAAGTATCATCTTGATTTAGTTTTCAAATGATTCCTTATGTATTCTGGATTTATTTGAGTATAATATGGTTTTGAAGATTGGTGTTGCTTAAAGTGTATGGGGAAAAGTTGTTGTCTTGCTTTTTCTGGAGAATTTGGGGAAAAAAAAACTTATTAAAGTAAAGACATGCTATTTAAAAAAAAGAGAGTAGGACAGGTGGGTGTGGCGGTACACGCCTGTTTTCCCAGTGACTTGGGATGCAGAGGCAGGAAGCTCGCAAGTTAGAGACTAGTCTTGGCCACTTAGTGAGACCCTGTCTCAAAATAAAAAATAAAAAGGATTGAGGATGTAGCTTAGTGGTAAAGCACCCTTAGGTTCAATCCCTGGTACCAATAAATAAATTAATAAATAAATATTACAGAAAAATAATGGGATACAATTAATGAAATGGTATATCTTATTGATTATGATATAGATGGATAAAGAAAATGTATATACACCAAATGGAATACAATTTAGCCTTAAAAGGAGGTCATTTGCATTGCCATAAGTGAACTTGAGGACATATGCCAAGTGACATAAGCCAACCACAGAAAATCAAACCTTGAATGAGTTCACTGATAAGAGGAATGTGAAAAAGCTGAACTCATAGAAACAGAGTAGAATGGTCATTGAAAGTGGCTGAGGGGTAGGAGCAATGGGGAGATCTTGGTTGAAAATGCAAAATTTCAGTTAGAAGGAACAAGTTCAAGAAATCTATCCTACACCATAATGACTAGAGTTAATAACTATATTGCATACCTTAAAATCGACAAGTAAGCAAATTTTGAATGTTCTCATTACAAATAAAAGGAATGTGAGAGTAATGCATTTATTAATAGGTTTGATTTAGCCCTTTCACAATGTATACATATATTAAAACATCATGTATATGCCATAAACACATAGAACTTTTACTTGTTAATTTAAAAAGGCTCAAAAGTTTTTGATACAGATATATATTAATCGATATTAAAATATGTTGATATATCAGCAAGTTAAAAATGTTACAAAACATATACAAAGTCATATTTTAAAACATATATTTATGAATACAATGGTGCACACCTTTAATACCAGCTATTCAAGAGGCTGAGGCAAGAGGATCACAAGTTTGAGGCTGGCCAGGAAAATTTAGTGAGATCCTGTCTCAAAATAAAAATGTTTTAAAAAGGACTGGGGATGTAGCTCAGTGGTAGAGAGCTTGCCTACCATGTGCAAGGCCCTGAGTTTAATTCCTAGTATCTCACACACACAAACACACACACATACAACATTATAAATACAAACACACAACATAGATATGTATATCACTAAATACATGAGATCTTTCAAAAATATTAATTATCAATAGTACTTTTGAATGTAGGATTATGGGTAACATTTATTTCTCATTTTTTTGATTATCTGTATTTTTTATGAATGATAGCTATTTTTATTACTTGGGTAATTTGAATAACTAACAGTACTTTAATAATTTATTTTCTGACTGAAGCAAGGGCTGGAAAAATGTACCCAAGCAACAAGGGCATATATTCAAGACTTCCGAGAATTCTCAAAAAACATATCGGTTATGCTGGGAAGATGTCAGACCTACACCAGTGAGTATAAGAGTGCAGTAAATAACTTGGCCCTGAGAGTGGAACGTGCCCAGCGGGAGATTGACTACCTGGAATATCTTCGAGAATCTGACATATGTGTAGAAACAGAGGACAAGACACTGGCAGAAAAGCTACTTCAAGAAGCTGAGGAAGAGAAAAAGATCCGAACTCTGCTGAATGCAAGTAAGAACTGCATCTTTTACTACCCCTTCTAGGGTCTGTCACATTCAGAAAGGTGCAGACCTGGTACAGTTAGGGAGTGTCATCAAGTAATGCATAAGAAGTGGCTGTGGGCTTTTGTGTGCACCTGCTAGCAGAACAACCTGCGCAGGGAACAGTTGTCCAAGGGAAAAATACCTTCTGGAGAAGTAGCTGTTCCTTTCACAGGGAGTGTCTTAATCCCCCATGGAAGGTCAGGGCTACAGTGACAGAGGTTAACCTAGGAGCTTGCTTCCTGATAGACCTTGGTTTGGTGGAGGCATGTGGTCCCAGATCTTTCCAGGGAGAGTAGCAGGTTAGTGGATTCTATATCTAGTATCCTGGAAATAGGGAGCAGCTGTCAACATGCCAAACCAACACTCTGAAACTGGAAACGCAACAGCCAACCCTCAGGGCTGGGAATTTGCAGTGGATTATTAATATATGTATATGACTATGTGTGCTGCCTGGGATGTGATATCCAGGGAATTTGTCTTCAATTTTGTGATCTTTCAGAAGCCACTTACAGGCCATTAAGTAGCTCAAACTATAATCAAAAGTATCATGTAACAAACACACAAAGTAGAAGGAAAAGTTTCTGTGCATGAGTCCATTTCATTATAACAACAAGGGAGACAAGTCTCCCTCCTCAGAGTCTACCTTTGGAAATAAGAAAACTTTATTCATGTACTAATTATGTCTTCCCTAAATTCAAGAAACTCCATCAGGGAAATACATCAGAAGCTGAATGTCATCACAGACCTAAAGTTTTCACATATCTTCTCACTGTAGTTTTTTTTTTTATAAGAACCCCATGGGTTGTTGGAAGAAGAAGGGTCTTCCTAAATGAAGTGACATTTGATCTGAATTTTGAAAGAAGTTAGAGTACATTGATCAGAAGGCACGTCAAGTGAGGACAGAACACATAAAGGCATGGACAAGGATATGTAGCACCTTGATAAGCAGATCTGCAAATAGGGCTGAGTGAAACCTGTGTAGGAAAACTGTGTTGAAGAGCTCAGTAGGACCCAGATGATGAAAGACCTAGCATGCTGTGCTAAGGAGGTTGAACTTTACTGGAGTAACTATAGAGAACCATTGAATTATTCTAAGAGGGCATGCTATGAAGGAAGAGGACAAGACCAGAGAGAGAGAGGGGAGACCTGTCAGGGGGATTCTGCAATGATTTGGGCAAGTTGGCATTAGGTGTCATAGCACAGAGGAGAGCAGGTGAATTTGAGAGCCATTGACAGCTGGAATCCACGTGGTTTGGTAATTTGTAATTGAAAGTAAAAGTAAAGGACACGGAAAGGGATGAGTTCAGGATGCCTCCTGGGGTTTGGGTTTAGGTCATTGAATGGTATGCAATACACTGGACTAGGAAACCCAAGAGGATTTTGGGAGCACTTATTACTCAACTGTTTTTTCACTTATGTCTTAGTCCATTTTCTGTTGCTATAACTGAGTGCCACAGACTGAGTAATTTATCAAGAATAGAGATTTATTTACTTCATGGTTCTAGAGGCTGGAAAGTCCAAGAGGATGATGTTGGGCAACTGCATGGCATCTGGCAAGGGCCATCTAGCTGCATTATAACATGATAAAAGGCACCAAATGATGTGACAGAACAAGTGTGCTTTGGGGGCTCTCTTCCTCTTATAAAGCCACTAATGCAATCATGGAGGATTGCCTCTCATGATCGCTCCAATCCTAATTACATCCCAAAGGACCTGCTTCCAAATACTATTAACATAGGACTCTGAGGATTAAGTTTTCAACACATGAACTTTTGGGAGACACATTCGAACCATAGCAACTTGAAACTCTGAGATATTACAGTTCATTTATTTGCTCACTGCTTATTTTCTAATTCTCCAGCTATAATGTCAACTCTCTGAGATCCTGGACACGCTATTTCATGTCCAATATTCTAGGTACTGGAGAGTACCTAGAATAGTATCTGTGTTCAAATAAATAATTGTCAGGGAGTAACTGAGTGAACAAAAACAACAAAATGAATGAAGGATGGTCAACCCAGAGGAATCAGTTAGACTTTGATAAAAAGAAGGAAAAAAAAACCATTTTAACTCTGAGTCAGAATACAAAGAAGAGGGTGCTTTATCTATAGTATGAAGGAGTTGATCAAATTGGTCAAGTCAGTGGTCCATTTTGGCCTTGACGTTGTCCTGATATGAATCATTCTGAGAAGTGAGCAGATAGGGGATAAAGATGAAGCACAGGAAGGAAAGTGGGAAGGGGACAAAGGGGGAGTCACCCAAGGATGAACAGAAGCTGCCTAAAAAGCTGATGTGTGTGCGTGTGTGGCTCAGCAGTAGAGTGCTTACTTAGCACGCAAGAGGCCATGGGTTTGACTTCCCAGTACCACACACACATACATACACACACACAAAGGTGATGTGAAAGATTAGGTGCCAGTGTGGCCCAAGCCTGAAGGGTGTTGCTGAATCAGTTTCCTAGGCTGCTCATGTTCCCTGGACACCTCAGGTCCTCAGGCTTTGAGATTATCCCTTTTCCACTCCCAACTGGAGCTGATAAGCAATCCTGACACTGGATTTGATGCTTTTTAAACCCCTGTCTCATCCCTCACACACTGGAGCTCAGATATCTTCTCTCCCAACTCTGTGGTAAATGGAAAATTCTCTCTCAACCTCCCAGAGACTGTTGCTTACATGCCTGTTGACTCTGGAACTCTTGGTTTGATGATGTGTCTGTTTATGATTCAGCCAATACTTCTTGCCCTCCTCTATTGGGTGGGCTGCACGGGACATAGGAATGAACGGGACTCGTTTGCATCCTGTGCCAGCTTCTCTTGCCTCCTACAATCCATCTGCTACGGGTAGACCTCCTCACAACACAACGTGGATCCTATCACTCCTCTGCATAGCATTTTTTGTTGTTGTTCACCACTAATTATCAACAATAACAAAAATCCTTTCTACTCTCTGAGCCTTTTATATAATGGCCCAAGCTGATCTCAGCTGCTGCTCCTTATATATATTCATATATATACTTATACATGTGTTTGTGTGTATACACACACACACACACACACACACACACACACAGCATTTAGCATGCTTAATCACTCATATTTGTGTGTATCTGACTCCTCAATTAGGCCATGAGCATGTTGACATCTTCTTTCAGTATTTACAGAGTGTAGGACAGGGCCTCACATGGAGGAGGCCATAGAAATTGTTTCTAGAAGAGATACTGATGGCAGAGGCCAGGCAGAGATTGGTTTAGGGAAAGGTTAACAACTACAACCTTGTGATTAGTGCTCCTCTGACCTATCTATTTTCCAAGTTTCTCAGTCCAAGGTTAGACTTCATAATGCCACTTTTTTCCCCAACTCTGTGTCATTTCGTATTTTACATACTGTGCCGCCTCTGCTTTTTTCTTCCCTTTTGCCATTTTTGTTAGTAACTATGCCGGTATCCATCTTCTAATGTTGCCCAACAAATTACCATAGATTTAGCAGATTAAAGCAATACAGATGTATTATCGCAGTTTCTGAGAGTCAGGAGTCCATGCACAGTTTAGCTGAGTCTGCTGCCTGTAGTTACAGGACTGAGACCTCTGGCTTCCAGAGTCTTCCCTCTCCATTGGTTGTTCATAGCATGTCTGTTGCTCCTTCAAGGCCAAAAAGAGACTGCTTCTCTTCAGAAGTACAGAGTGCCTCTTTTAAGAGTTTTTATCTGATTATGGTAGGCCTCCTATAATCGTCTTTTTTTTTTTTGCTTTTTGTTTTGTTGTTGTTTGGTACCAGGGATTGAACCCAGGCATGCTTAGCTACTGAGTCACATCCCAGCTCTATTTATTTATTTATTTATTTTGAGTCAGGGCAGGGTCTCGCTAAGTTGCTGAGGCTGCCTTTGAACTTGCAATTCTCCTGCCTCAGTCCCCTAAACCATCATCTTCGTTTTTTGATTAACTCAAAATCAACAGATTTGGAATCTTATTTCTATCTGTAAAATCCTGTCACCTTTGTCGTACAGTATAATACAGTCACAGAGTACTGTCCTCTCATATGCCCAGATCCTGCCCATACCCCAGGGGAGGGGATAATTAGGTCATTCTTTGGTTATGGTGAGGATCATGAGGGCCATTTGGAATTCTGCCTACCACAGTGCCTCAAATACCTGAATCCACCTTCTTCCTGGAAGTTCCCAATCTTTCTATCTTCTACCCTTGGCTTACCAGGACTGTCCCATTTACAGAAATTTTACTAAAATCCTAAAGACTCAAATCAGCTTCCTTGCATAGACAAACATCTTGGGGTTGTGGCCAGGGAGAGTTTCCCAGAAGTCAAATCACAGGGTTTCATTCAGATATACTTGCTGTGTTAGAGCATTTCTTAGAAAAACCTCTAGAGAGTAGATGAAGCAACTTCTTTGGAAAATTCAACCTTTTTATCCAAGGAGACTTCCGGGAAATTCTAATACATATTAGTCTAAGTGGTTCTCATTTCTGTTAAGAATATTTCTATGGCAACTACTAAGGGCCAGATATTTGGGTAATAAATAAAAGAAGATGGCTCTATAATGAGGCCATTCCTTATAGCTATCAAGACTTTAGACTTTAGACTTTATCTTCAGATGATCCCTAAATGATATTCACACAAAATCTTAATCCCAGGGATTTTTAGGGTTAAATAAAATTCTTAGAATCTTAAATTTCCCCATCTCTCTTCCTCTCTCTCCCTCCCTCCCCACCTATTTCACATACATACATAATTTAGACTGAAAATGAGTGTTACTGAATGTAATCAAACTTATATTTTTAAATAATTTCAAGTCCTGAGTACAAAAATTGTTATTGCTAAAATATGATTTTGTATTGTACTCGAGTCAATTTATGGCAAGGCACTATGGCCTCAGACACATAGACTAAGAATTCTCCAACCAAAGTCTTTGGAAGATTCCACAGGCTGCATTCTTGACTGGATAAAGGTATTAACTTCT